GGGGGAGATTTTTGGTAGAGGTATCTTATTTCTTCTCTTTCTTTTTGATTTCTTGTGTGTTTAGTATAGTTTTACTGCTTTCTAGTGTAGATTTTATTGCTTTGAAAAAGAAAAAAATACAAAAAAATTGAAAAATAAAAAAAAATACAAAAATACGATCTAATGAATGATAAATCATGTTTCCCTGTGCCCCATACATGAAAATTGTGAAATTGTTTTGATTCTTGGTACATGATGATGGATATTGTGGATAGGTTAGACATTATTTGATGTTTGATTGCTTTGATGCCTTGATATGAGTAAACTTTGTCCAACTATTTGTAGATTTGGTGCCTGACTAGTTAATTTGGTTAGGAATTGTGTGTTAGTTCCTGGTATGTCAATGAAGTTGAGTATTAGTTTATGATTTTGAGTAATGCTTTTATGGCTCATATTATGCACATTGAGGAGGACGAAGGCATATGCATTTGTTCCCTTCTTGCTACCCATGTTGTTGCCTAGACCTTTTTATTGTTTATTTAGCCACATTACAAGCCTATTTTTACCTCATTGGTTACTAGTCCCAAGCTTGGCCTGGGGGAGCTATTAGTGAGTGAGGTGAGGGAGTTTGTAGTGTGCTTATTTATTGCATAATGTGGGTGAGTTTTAGAGAAGTTGTTTTGTTCTTAATTGTGGTTTATTTTTGGTGATTTGAAAGTTGAAATTTCTTGAAAAAATAAAGCATGACGAAAAAAAAGAAAGTCAAGAAAAGAAAAGGAAAAAGAAAAGGGAAGTGAACTTCAAAAGAAAAAGAAAAGAGCAAAAGAGAAAAAAATTGTTTCAATGTTCAAATGTTCTAAATGAAGGTTGTTCAAAAGAAAGAAAAGAAAAAAAATTCAAAGTTTGTTTGTTCACTCAAGTTCTACATTATTATATTTATATGAGTGAAGTTGTAAGTGTTGGAAAAATTTGTGATATGATTGGTTTGGTTGTTTGGTGAATTTTGGTGGAGTTGAGTTATGTTGGAGATGTTTTGGTCATTGTTTGATTTTGACCTTGGTTTTATTAGTTAGGATTTGGTCCCTTAAGCATGGCTTTATCCCCACTTTTTTCCCAAATATTTCCTACCTTTCACCTTGGCCTTATATTACAAGCATTAAAGACCTTCCGATCTTTTTTCATAGAGTTATGTGGTTGTGAAATTAGTTGTTTATCAATGCAAAGAATGATTTGATATATTTCGAGTCGACTACTAGGTTGAGTGCTTGTCTTTTTTAAAAACACGAGTGTTGTGAGTTTGGGAGGGCATTGTTCACATTAAAGGGTTCTGATGGAGAGCGATCGGATACACTTTTTATCCGCCACATTTATGAGTGAAGAGTGTGTGAGCACTAGTCATGAATTCCATATACACTTTTGGTTCACTTTGTTTGACGATTGTTAGGGTGGATTAGTAGTTAGATGGAACTGATTGGTTGACTTTGATGCATATTTGTTGGATTTGCCTTGAATTAATTATGGTTTTAGTTGATTTTTGGGTGAAGCATGTTTTATTTGTTCATTGATAAGATCTTTGCTTTGGGACAAGCAAAGGTTAGGCTTGGGGGAGTTTGATATGTCCATTTTATATAATGATTTACCCATGTCCCTTGGTCATATTTAGGAGTATTATTGGCTCTACGGAGCTATTTTTATTACTAATATGCGTTTTCTAGTGTTTTTATATCTTTGGTATTATTTTGTAGGAAATTGTGGATTTGGAGCATTTCCCAGACTTATTTGAGCCACTACGAGCATTCAATATGGAGCGCATTCTTATGACCATATTCTGTAGCCCAAGACCGCATTAGAGTGATCAAACCAGTGATTAAGGGCCCGACGAAGAAGAAGAAACCGAGGCAATGGACCGAGTTATAAAGACCTAAAGAGGATATTTGAATTGGGCCTAGCAAAAGAGCCCAATCGTGGAATCTAATGTTGCCCGGTGGACTTGCTCGACCGAGAAGTTTCCTTGCCTTGAGGCGTGCCCGGCTGGGCGAGGAAGAGAAGTTCAAGGACCCCGAAGGCGCGCCCGACCGGGCAGTCAGGCGCGCTGCCGGGTGCGTGTTTTTGAGGATGTTTATGGCGTTTAATCGCCGTTTTACTTTAGGATTCTTAGCTTTAATTTAAATACGCTTTTTGTTAAGCAAGACAATTACGCCTTTCATTAGTTAAAAATTCTAGACTTTAGATTCTAAGCTTACTTAGTATTTTGTTCTCTCAACACTATTTGGTTTATGCAACTCATTATTTCCGTTTATTTTAGTAACGATTTTCTCCCCTTTTATTTCTAGTAATTTTATTGCTTTGATTAATTATGTCTTGTTTAATTGCTTTGCTTAGTTTAGATTTAATCATGTGTGAGTAGTTTTTTTCTAGGGTTCTTGGGGATCCATAAATAATATGAAGGGGTGATTTATTATTGTTGATTATCAATTCTTTGATTAATTTCCTACTAATTGATTTAATGCTATACAATTATATTGGGCCTAGTTTAATTGTATGAGTTATGCAATACTAATTCGAGATTGGATAGATGAGAATTGATGTTTAGGCTTAGTTTCAATAGGCTGGTTAATTTATAAATAGTTAAGTCAACATTCGAGAGATGCGATTTGATACCGCTAAGTTAATTCTGTGATTGCAATACGTAGGGAAAACCCTTTATGAACTGATTAATTGATGCATTGATAATTGATGGTTGTTCTTCATCCCGGAGTATTATTTATTGGTGAACCTATACCCCACGCTTTGATTTATTGTTATTCCTATTATTTTTATTCGCGTTGGTTTATTTATTTCCCTTAGTTTAATTCATAAAATCATATTTGTTACTTAATAATATAGATTATATTAATTTTTTAGGAATATAAAGACATTGTTTCCCTAAGGATTGGACCCTACTTCCTTATCTACTTTAGTTAGAGGACTTAGGAATTACTTTTGATTTGGTGATACAACTAGATCTTGTCAATTAGGGCTTTTACAATGTTTTTTTTTCAACCCCTAATATATATATATATATATATATATATATATATATATATATATATATATATATATATACATACATAGATGGTCGGCATCCATTCTTGGAATTGTAACTCTCACAAGGGACTCCAAAAACCCCGAAACATTTAGCGCTGTCTGTGGGGAGAGTACTTGAAACTTGAAAAAAAAGTACTCTAAATCTTTATATATATATGAAAGTTTGCTAGGAAGGTACTTTTAAGTGGTCGACTTTTTGAGGAAGGTCTTTTTATGAAAAAGGTGGCACAAAAAGTCTTTTTATGGCGATTGGGTTGTGAGGAGGGTCCTTTGACCAAACTCCGGCGTTGACCTACATTTACCGGCCAAAAAAAGTCACGTGCTGTGCACGTGACCATTTAAATCAGCTTTTTTTTTTTTTTTTTTTTTTTCTTTTTTTCTTTTCTTTCCTCTTCATCTTCTTCCTCCCTTTCAATTCCACACCTCCATGAATGGCATTTCCGGTCGGACCTCCACCCACCACACCTCCACCTCTGGCAAAAAGGAACCCCATCCCTTTCCCCTTTGCAATCAAATGTACCATAGCAATACTAAAAATACAGATTCTCAACTACCCGGTAAATACTATTATTTCCTAAAGGATCAATAAATATGACTTGCATCCAACTCACCCAGAAAAAGCTACAACTACAAAATACCCTAGGATTGGTAGATGTAACCCGACGATACTAACCCAACATCTATTAGCATCCAATTCACCCCGCAAAAGTTACTACCGATCAATGACTTAGCCATAATATTATTCACTTAGAACGACAACAATATTGCAGCCCAATTTAATTAACAACTATCATATGAACTATTATCTCTAACAAAACTCGATGGTAAAATAAAAAGAGGGAAAAAAGTTGCAAAATATCGATTGAATTCTATTAAATTATAGTCGGTATTCATAAGCTTTGACGAGATTCACATATTATATGCTAATTTAACATGAAAATTATTGAAATTAAACCAAAAAAATGTTGGAATTGGTTATTATATGCTAATTTGACGAGGCTTCCAAATCTTCATCAGATTGGTGAAGTAGTGGATAGATGGCTGCAATTGGTTATTGTTGCCGCTGTTTGTTGTGGATCGGAGAAGGGTAAAGCTAGGAGGTTCTATATACGGTGGCTGCAAAGTGTGAAGCTGTGGAGCTTGGTGGCGAAGAAAGCAAGGGCTGCTACTGTTGTTGGAGTGTGAGGAGGTTGATTGGTTGGAGATGCAGGGAATTGGTGGTGAAGGTGGGCTGTTTACGGTGAAGGGAAGGTGGCAAGGCTGCTGTGGTTGCCATTATTGTTGCTGTAATTGTTGTTATTTGCGTTGTTGGTTGGCTGGAATTTGGTGGAGTGGTGGCTGCTTGCGATGGCTGATTGGTGTTGCGTGGGTTGCTATTGGTGTTGCGCAAGGGAAGGTTCGTTTGGAGTGTTTTTGAAAGGGAGAAAGGGTGGAGGAAAGGGATGGGGTTCCTTGTTGTCGGAGGTGGAAGTGTGGTGGGCGGAGGTCTGGCCAGAAATGCCATTCATGGAGGTGTGGAATTGAAAGGGAGGAAGAAGATGAAGAGGAAAGAAAAGAAAAAAATAAAATAAAAATAAAGTTGATTTAGGTGGTCACGTGCACATCACGTGACTTTTTTTGGCCGGAAAATGTAGGTCAACCCCGGAGTTTGGTCAAAGGACCCTCCTCACAACCCAATCGCCATAAAAGGACCTTTTGTGCCACCTTTTTCATAAAATTAAAGGACCTTCCTCACAAGGTCGACAACTTAAAAGGACCTTCCTCGCAAATTATATATATATATATATATATATATATATATATATATATATATATATATATATATATATATATATATATATATATATATATACTTTGTATATTATACTCTATAACATTTACGTATCAAGCTAAGTTTGGTGTAGTGATTTAGAATGTATCTTTCAACCTCGAGGTTGGAGTTAATCCCCACTAGGGACACTTTGAGGGTGGGAATCTCTTACCCTCCCCCCTCACTCTCAATGTTTCTGACCCGCAAATACCGGGCTAAAAAAATAGTGAGAATTGAGGTACAATTAGTGTCCTTCTCCTTACTTTAAAAAAAATCATAACATTTACGTTATTCCCTATGGCAATACTACATCCTAATAAATTAGGTTCATAAGTACAAATGCAATGACATAGGGTGGGTGAATGCTATATACACCAATTCACCATATTCATTTAATCTCATCTATGTTCTAGATTTCTAACTATTGTTTCTTTTGCATAAGGTTTTATCTCCTTATATAAGACTCAATCTGAGATAAATCAACAATTTTATCTAATCCGCTGTCAACAAGAAACCTGAAAGGAAAAAATAAACTATATTAGCAAATAGCCTACAATGAGGCAAGGAGAAATGAAAATGTTGGTCAAGTAAGGTTTCATACTTATCCATAAAGATCTTAGTCATGGATCGACAACCTCCAGGAATAGACGATTGCATGTTCACTGCAATGTTTGGATTATGAACACTCTGCCTCAAGTGCACCCAACCCTGTTCATTTTCCTCTTTATCCAATACCTTCACCCTGCAATGTTTATTTTGTCATTTGTTTTACAAAACAAAGTTCTTTAAAATTTAAATGTAGTAATTAATTACTTGCAACTGCCAAACAAGGTACTCTTCGTAATACCAATATATCTACATAATTTCCGCTTTCATACTTAAAAAAAGAGGGACTCACTTTCTACTAACTCTTAGTTTTTCATGTTTTCAAATTACTAATGTAAATGGGAAGATGAAAAAAAGGAAAAGAACGGTATGTTGCGATCCAAAGAGAAATGAAGAAGTACGAAAGAAAGTCACTACTCCTAACTTCCTAAGGGAAAAGCTTTTATAAAATTGAGAATCAAACACACTTAACAGTAACTAAAAGTGATGAACATGGAGAGATAATGTAACCCTTTTAACAAAACAATTCTAAGATATAAACAACCCCAATTGATTGCATCCCAACTATTTTGATATTATTTTTTTCTAATAAAAGAATAAAAATAGTTAGATAGGAGAATAAATATAAGATTCTTGTAATGTCTACTACAACAAAAACTTAAGTTATTCATCTCTAGTACGATTTTTGAGTAGAAATCTTACAAGTTTTTTAATAGAGTAGTTTTAATTGTAATGCAAAATTTATCTTAACCACTGCATTCTTTTCATAGTTTAGATTATAGCCTTATAAGATGCAATGTGCAATATCCAATTGCAATATGAAATATCCAATTTATCATCATACTCTTGTTACAAATTCCAAATTACTCTTATATGAGTACATGCTAGACATGCGACAATAAGTTTTGAAAGTAATACCTGTACATATGAGCATCAATAGCTGTTGGATTTTCGTTTAAGTCTACAAGGCAACCTTCGCCGACCCAACAATCTCCACACGAATCAAGCACCCAACCCACTATTTTATCATCCTGATGCCATCATTAGACATCATTAGCTAGTATTGGTTAAAATCATCACTAACAACTTATTAGTATTGGTTAAAATCATTAGTATTGGTTAAATTCATATATATTAGACATCATTAGTATTGGTTAAAATCATCACTAACAACTTAACAAGTTATGCATGACTTTAATTCATACCTCCACATATTTCCGAAAAGTTTCAATGATTTCAACTGCCTTTGCCTTGGCATATCTTGGCTCTGAAAGAACATCCATCCTTAGCTCCACAGAATCTACAGGATCTTCAAGGTCTTCGATGAGGCTTCCTATTCCTTCACTTGATCCCGAAAGCCTCATACGAACCAACTCAATAATGATCTTTACAACCATATAAGCACCTAATATACAAATAATGTTAGTTGCTTGTCATGCAAAATAATGACTAACAAATAACGCTCAAGTTATTAAGCAATACATCAGTCAATTACCATCGTCGAGAAAGTAGTTCTCCTTAAGAGCACCATGCCCGGAAGTCTCCATCATAAGATGAGTCTCAATGCCGTCTTTATTCAACTGAACACCCTTATCAATAACATTCCTATACCCGACTCTATATAAACAATGCTTTCCTCCTCGATTAGTGATGAGCCTAGATAACCCAATGCTAGTCCGAGCATCAGTCACAATGGTTGTTTCAGGATGCTCCTTAAGCACAATAGCAGACATTAGTGCTATCAACTTGTCACCGTTGATGGGGTTCCCTTTGTTGTCAACTAAACCACTACGATCAACATCAGTGTCAAAGACAATTCCGATGTCAGCCGAGTTTTCTAATACTGCTGCTCTTGTGAAGGCCATGGCTGTTTTGTCCTCGGGGTTAGGGATGTGGTTAGGGAACATTCCATCAGGGTTGAGATGTAGTGATCCAAATGTGTCTGCTCCAAGTTTGTCTAGCACATCATATGTGAAAAATCCTCCTGAACCATTTCCAGCATTTACAATGATCTGCAATATATTATTCAAGTGTTCTCATGTAAAACTAAATAATTATGGTTATTGTCCTTATTGATTTGGAAAATTTATCCTTTTAATTCACAATTTTCGTTTTTGAAATACACTAATGTATTATGTATATATATATATATACTCGTTCAAAATTGGATTATTGTAATTCTATACAACTATGGAGTAATGGAAATAAAAACGAATATTTTTATGGGACTCTATTCTATGTCCTTAATGTGAAGAGAACAAGTAGTCCTTAGTCCATTTGTTTCCTATAGTCACAAATTTGACTCAAATTAAAATAAAGACGCGACATGGAAGTGGACTCAAAAACTTTTTTTTTTTTTATTCATTCAGAATGTTATATAGAGGGCCTATTGATATATAATAGATTAATATTATCTCGTATATATCCTTTTCTCCAGTAATTAGCTAGAGGACCATATAATTGGCTCAATATATCATATAAATTGTGTGGTCCGTGTTCGTAAGCTCGTGTATCATGTGTAGAACTTGAATTATCTACAATCGACAATACCATGCAAATGTGCGAACCAAATAAGTTGTCATATCCACAAACACCAAATAAATTGTCATATATCTACATACAAACACTTGTAATAGCGAGGCAATGTATGTATCATGTTTAGCTCATTTTTAAACTAACTTTTTGGTAAGGTGAAGGGACCACCCGAGATAATAAGTAAAAATCTCCCAATGAACTTGACAACGTTTTTAACTCCGGCCTATTAAATATTTGGAAGTTGGAGAGCTAGCTAACGAAAAATGAAAAAGGGTCAAAGTACGTACCTGAAAGCCTTGGAGGGGTGTGTCGTAATGAGTAGGATGGTTGATTCTCTCCTTGATAATGTCTCGGAGATGGCTAGCATAAGCACTCATGAGATTCACTTTTTTGGGAGGATTGTTTAAAGTCAAGGAAACCTTGGCTTGCCTATTAGCATACTTGCGGGCAGCTCTGTCACATAGCTCTTCCACCTCTAGAGAAGTAAGCCCTCCTCTTTTTGTGAAAAATTTTAAACCATTTCTAGTGTATGGTAAATGTGATGCTGTCATCTGCGACATAAATAGCATATAGATCGTGTAATTAAAATTTATGCACGAGTCACTTTGACATTCTAGATCAGATTATAAATGGTATATTGAAGGGTAGGTCAATCTATCCCAGGATTCCCAGATTAGTGGATAAGCTATATGAAGAGGGCGGGATAAGAGAAAATACACTTTTAAAGTAGTGTCACTAGTGGAATTTGATTGTGAGATACAATTCTTACCTCTAGACCAAGTGGTATTTGTTTTGTTCATTTTTTTCATTCAACTATGATTAAATGTGAAATTAGATTAGTGTGTTCTTATACAATATGAAAAATAAAAGATATAACCCCAAAACATAGACAATATTATAATACTCTCAAGTTAAGTTATTTTGAAATTGTTTCATACAGCAAGATTTATCACCCCTTTCAAAATTATACCTCCTCTATGTTGAAACTAGCTAGAAGCTAGCTTAGCAATTCAAAAAAAGAATATTGTAGCTAGCTTATTGAAATTATTTTTTATAAGATTTTTACAAATATTAATATATATTTTAGAAATCAAAACCCAATTAACTTTATATTATAAACTTATAAGGCTATATCACAAAAAAAGCAATTTGTATATTCTTGTCAATTTAAAAGAACGTCCATACATGTATTTGTATATATGGTGTCAATTAGCGTAGTATGTAATAAATTTTAGATATCACGACTTACAACTATTATTATATTATTAATAATAGTTAAATTAGTTACGAAGTATATGATATAAATTAACGTGATAGTAAATTTTGAATAGAAGATATACATAAATGTTATTACCATGATAGAGCCATGATAAGAAAAATCAGGCAAAACAGTGCTCATAAAACAAGCTGGTGTAGTAGCGAGACCCATGTCAAAACTCAGACAACCAGCTCTAGCCAGACCAGCAAACACAGCCACACTCAACACCTTACCCGTAACTCGAGGATCTCTTCCCAGTGACACCTTAACAACATCCACAACTTCTTTCTCCTCCTCACCATCTCTTAATAACTTTGATATCAACCACTCTCCAAAACTCTCCGCAATAGCCTCCACAGCAGGCGGCGTAAGGTCAACTGTTCGACCTTTCTCACCCTCCAATGCCACCCCTCGAATATCCGAACCATTCTGAAGCCTCTTTATTCTTTCTATATCCTCATCATTGGTCAACACATTCGACGACAGAGAAGGAGGTGCACTCGACGACGAAGATCTTACAAAAATGGCATTGCCTCTAGGAGGGAAAGATGGTAAGTTAAGGTTTATTATTGTTTGCAATGGTTTATTCTTCTCTAGTAGCCATGGGAATTGGAGTTTATTCGCGTTGCGATTTAGTATGAGAGTTGGAGAAGATGTACAAGCCATGAAATTTGATATAAAAAGAGATGTATATTTTTAAACAAGCTACGCCACCTCGAATCAAAGCTAGAAGTTATGATACTAGCTAATATCTTTGAAGAAATCAAGTAAGATACTGACCAATTAAACCAGAACCTTACAATATTTGAATTACTATCCATTTTATGTGCAAATATCTTGAAGTAAACTGACAAAAAATATAGAGATTTTTTGCTCTCTTTAATATCCACGAAATTGTGTAATAATTTGCAACTTTGCAAGCTTATGGCTTTTCTCTTGTTTTCCTTTTTGTTTTCTTCTGAGTAATATGACAAGCACAAATTTGACGTATTATACGAAAGCATAAACACAAAAGAAGAGACTGGGAGAGAAAAAACGAGCATGTGATGTGCTATGTATTTGGGTACTGAAGTTTTATACTCCCTCCGTTTCATAATGTTAGTCCCACATATTATTTTAGGCGTTTTAAAAGTTCTACATATTATTGATTATATTTCATTTTTAACTTAGTTTTTATTTCCTATTTTATACATATTAAATTCTGATTGATTAAATTAATTGATTGTTGATTTATGACATGGCTTTAAGTAAGGATATCTCTCCCTTAAATTATGCAATTATATATGGCTAATGCTTTCCAAAAAAAAAAAAATCAAAACTTTAAATAAGGCAAAACTAATTATGAACTATTTTTGTATTTTAATGTTAGATTCCAAATATTCTTCTCTTATTTTATGTGATTGATTCCATATGAGACTATCATATGGAAATGGAGGGAGTATGATTTTTTGTCAGAAAATAACTAATAAAATTCGGTTTTTGTAAGAAACTGTCTAATATAAAAAAATAAAAAAATAGTTAATTGAAATGGAGTTATTTGAAATTAAAAGATTATGTAGCACTTTTATTTTTTTTTTGAAATTTGAATTTATTTATTTAAATTCTTATATATATATATTAAAAGAATTTTAGATTATTTTTTAGTAAAAAAAAAAAAAAAAAAAAAAAAGGTAATATTTTGTAGGAAATTTTTTCACAAAATTATATCAAGTGTTCTATCCGGTAAAAACTGTAGTATATAGTATAAATTAGAAACTACCTATTAAAATGCAAAATGTTGTGAAAGACTCCCTATGGTAGTAGGTAGTCTTTTGCAACATTTTGCATTTTAATAGGCAGTTTCTTACAACATGATCTTTGAACAATTTTTAAGTTTTCATAAAAGATTTGTTTGCGGCTCCCTACTTTATCATTGTCCCTAATTGTTATTTTTCACATTCACTACTCCCACGATTACGAAGCACATTCACATATGCTAAGGTAGGCCGACTCATATGATGCATAAAATCAATTTTGATTTGTAGGTTTTTTTATTACACTTTATTAAAAGTCAATTTTTTACAAAAAAAAAAAAAAAAAAAAAAAAAAAAAAATGAATTTTGTTTAAAGTAACCTATTAATCCTTGATTAACCGTATTTAACACAAGATAATTTGTGCTCCAAGAAAATTGTTCAATTTAGGGTTGGAGGTCAATTTGACCCTTAAAGTTCAAACTTGAGGTTAAATTTATTAAAAATTTACCAAGAATGCCTTGGGTTGCGTGTCTCAATTTGCATGTAGAAAAAAAAAATGATATGTTTAGGTTTCGGAGGACCATTTTATTATTTCTTAAAGGTCAAATTTAGCAAAAAATTACCAGAGTACATCAGTTAGCTTGTCTTTATTTTCAAAGGGATTAAATTGGTCAATTAAGTTTTTTGGGGTGATTTCAACTCATAAAGGTAAAGTTTGAGGTCAAAAGTTCGGGAAAAAAAATACCATAATTAATGTCTTGGTTTGGATACTGAGAAAATTGCTCGATTTAGGTTATAGAGTCATTTGAGTTGTTAATAGCCCAATTTGAAGTTAAAAAGGAAAGAACGCCTCATTTTAGATGTTAAAAAAATGCTCAAAATGCGTGCAATGGGTTACAATGGGTTAATAGGTTAGTTAAATTAACATTAATTTTTAATAAATTATTGTAAAAAATTAAATTGAAAAACCAACCACTTAGATAGCGACATATGTCAAACATATATAACTTGTTAAAGAAGTTACTAATGATTACAACCTTTATAAAGAGGATACCCACCAAAAATGATATTTTTAAGAATAATCATAGGGTCGCCTTATTTTTTAAAGACGCCAAAGGTCGTATTATTTTTTGACATTTTTGCTTCAATTTTGCTTGTTAGTCACCCACATAATGGGAAATTCATAAAATACTTATGGTTATTCATTATTGGAAAAATTGCCAAAAATAATACAATCTTTGGGCCGTTCTTTTTAAATAATATAACCTTTGAATTATACATGAATATTACAACCTTTGGGCGGTCTCTATTTTAAACAAGACAAAACCAGATGCAACTTGATAAATAAGTTAACAATGCTATGTGTCGCCATACGCTTGGCTTAAATAAGTTTTTCTTTCTTCTCTCTCCTTTCCCCAAACAACACCACTGCTCCACCCATCCTTACCACCACTACACCACTCTTGTCCCCATCCCCACCACCAGAATCGCCCCCTCCCCTTCCCTACCACCGCTGCCAACCCCCACTACCAAGCTGAAACTCCCCACCCACCCTTCAGAAGGCCTGATCCCCCCCCCTTCCTAACCACCGCTGCCAACCCCCACCACCAAAATATCCCACACACCCCGATTCCTCCCCTTCCGATCCCGACTAATGATTCCATAACAGCAGCCATGATTGACCACAACAACCCGAATTACTCCCCTTCTTGACCACCGATTCCACCTCCTCCCTCCAATATCGAAACCCCTTCAAAGAGGGTTAGGGTGGGGATTTGGGAAGGGTAGGGTCAAGGTTAGGGTGGGGGAAACAGTCGGCCGATTGGGTAGGGATTAGGGAAGGGTAGGGTCGGGGTGGTCGAACGTCAGGTCGTTGGGGATGTACGTGAAGGTAGGCTTGGGAGGAGGGGGAGGTGGGCTGACCACCATGGCTGGCGGAGGACACTACAAGAATCAGGTCAATTTCCGACAGACATGTATTTACGTCGGAAAAATGCAAATTTCTGACAGATTTATATTTCGTCGGATATTTCCGACGAATTCAAAATTTCCGTCGGAAATCCGTCAAAAATTTTCGACGAAAAATTATTTCATCAGAATATATGATCTTTCTAGCGGAATTTTCTTTTCGACGGATTTAATTTTCGTCGAAATATAAATTCAAAAAACAAAATAATTAAACCCCTTTAACCCTAAAACTACTGGATTCCCTTTCCCCTTATTCTTTTCGCCTCTTTCCCCTTATTTTTTCCGCTTTCTCTTTCTCTCTCCTCTTCTCTTTTCTTTCCCCTTCTCTTTCTCTGAATCTCTATCGCTCTCTTCTCCTTCACTTTCCTCTTATGTTCTCTATTCTTTCTCGCCTCCTTCTTCTCTCCTCTTTTTTCCCCTCCTTCTCACACCAACAACAAAACCCACTGCCGTATCTCACACCAACAACGTCAACAACATCAACACCGCCGCGCAATAACAACGACGCAACTAGCATCACCACCACCACTGCGCAACCCACACAAGCCTGGTCACCCTCTTAAGGTTTTTTTTGTATAAATTTAGGTTAGATGGTAGATCTAGTTTTTTTTTCTTTTCAATATTTATGATTGTAGTTAATTTTTTATGTAATTGTAATATTACCTTATAAATATAATTAGATCATTGTAAATTTATTTATTTCCTTCAAATTTCTTTAGTTAATTTTTTTTTAATGAAATTGCGAATAAATATGTAGATCTATTGGTTTGTCATAATTGTGAATTAGTTTGTGACTTATTTATGGTAATTTCTGTTTTAGGGTTTTCCGTGTCCTTCAGGAGAGTTATGTCACTGGATTTCGAGCGTCTGTACATACAAAACAAAAGAGATTCCGGGTGGTGGAAGCTTCGCCTCCGACGATCAACTTAGAATCGGTCGTAGAATGTAAAAAGGTGCGAAAAAGATAAAGTGGGATTTTCTCAGATTCCGAGATCAGGTGTTTTCTCTAATGAGAGAGAATTCAGTGTTTGTCATAAATGAACGTGTCCCTGAAATGGGGGAAATCTCCCTATTTATAGGGTTATTTGGAAAATGTGCCCTCCCTTAGGTCATCTTGACCTAGATTTGGTGTGCTGGGCCGTTTTACGGCTTTCTCGAGAATTGGACCCTGAAAGCTATCTTTTTCCTTTGCTGATTGGGGATGCCACGTGTCAGCTGGTGAGTGGCCCTTATTGAACCTGCCCTGAGGTGACACGTGTCCCCTGCTTATTGGGCCACGTAACATGGGTATTTTTACCCAAATCATTTACCCCTCACAGGGATGGCGTGGTGTGCCACGTGGCACCTGTGACGCGTGTCACGTTGGAAGTAGTGAACAATTTTTAACTGTTCACCTTCTCAGGAAATTACGGGGATGCCCCCATTTTTTCCCCTCTATAAATAAGCATTTATTCCACCCCTCCCTCCCTCATCTTTGACATTTGAAAAAAACTAGAGAGAGAAAGAGAAAGAATTCTAGAGAGAGACTCTAGTTGTCGCCTGCTGTAACTTCCACAAAAACTTTCGTCTGCTATTTTCGTTGACACAGTCGGTCAACGCTTGAGACTCGTTTCACCAAGCTACATTAAGGTAACCGTCTCTCCCCTTCTCAGCTCTTTTAAGCTTTACCGTTTTATATATATGTATAGCTTTCAATAAATGGATTCACCATCAGCACACACAGCACAGCCTAGGTCAATAACCAGCCGGTCTCCTAGTATGGCTGAGTCTAGGACTGGGGGTGCCGTCTCTGGGTGTCTGGGTCTGCCTTGCTTATCCCCGATCTGACCGTCTTTGTGTCTGTGTAGAACACAATGAAGAGGGTCAAACAGACGGCTACAAGGCCAAGACATAGATGTCACACTTTGGAAGTGCCGGCTGATAAGGTTATGCCGTCTGAGGAATATGATAGGTCGGATGAGCAAGTGGCAGATTCTCTTCCGAGTCCCCCCACCACTCCCAATGATGGGATTTTAAATGAGATAGACGGTGTGGGATCCGTCTCTTCCCCTAGTGCGCAAAACGAATTCGAACAGGAAGACAGCGAAGAGGG